TTTACTATCTAAAAATCCATATTTAATAATTTACTTTTGACTTTCATAAGTCCTGACAAAAAGGGAATCCCCTTGTTTCCTCTCAACTTGACTGCTTAATTGATTCTTCAAGTATTTTCTTTTCAATAAGTCTTCCAGACACCTTGCTCATTTATTAACTAAAACAACCATTTGCTTAATAAACATTGAACCCCAAGACCACCCTGGTCTTTTGGTTGACATATAATGTCCCAACTTGTGAGTCTATACATTTTTTTTGTGTTTATTACCTTGCCAAAAGAAACATAATCTATAATAATCTATTGTTTGAAGAACCCCTTTTGGAATCTAAAAAAAATCATAAACATGACTGTTGGAGGCATGTCACGAGGGCCTTTGACCGGACCTGCCGAAACTACCAAATCCGCTGGACATCGACTAAGTCCAAAGGGTGTGCCCAGGGCGAAGCGTCTGGCGAAGCCGAACGATGAAGATCGAAGGGTTCACCCCCAAGCTCACAACCCCGGGGAGAAGCCATTGGGCGAAGCTGGGCGACGAAGGCCAAAGGGTTCGCCACCAAGCTCACCATCTGGCCAAGTCGCCACTAAGGGCGAAGGCCATAAGGCGAAGCAAGAGGCCTTCGCCTGAACTAGAAGATGCCTTCAGCTAAGGGCTCGGGAGGCCCTGCGGCCCATGGGGGCCTTTCGCCATTAATACAAAAGATATTGTATACCCACACTAATGTCCCTATCATAAGGGTATCCCTGTAAATTTCTTTTTACTAACTAAACCCTAGAGGGTAGGAGTCTGTACTAAGATTATAAATAGCCCCCCAGGGCCATGTAATGGGGGATCCCAAAAAAATTTTACCAATTAATATATTGCTTTTATTATTCCATCAACTCATTGAGTGAACCACATCTTTCGACGTGACGCAGTTATCTTTTGACAACAATGACTAAACTTGAAAGCACATAATTAATCAAAACAAATCTCCCCCAACAGAAATATGCTTACCTTTCCAACTACAAAATTTCTTTTCCATTATTTGGTTAATTAGTTTCCAGTCTTTATCACTAAGCTTTCTAAAATATACATAGAAATACCAAGATATGTGAGACAAATGCTTATAGGCGCTTTCAGGGAATGACAAGTTATATTCATTTAATGATTCTAACAAATTCTCCTTTTATAGTAGATTGATTTCATGAAATAAGAGTTATTCATACTCCAACGGAAACAAAATTTTATAAATTTATAACGTATTTTGGTTCGGTTGAATTGCCTACGTAAGATAAAAGGTTCATATAGAAAATATGCACATTAACAAATTAACTGAATTTCTAGGTCTATAAATTGAACTGACAAATTTACATGTTTCAAAGTTGCATCTGTCTAGTGGTCATGAAATCACATAATTTAATTCCGTGATTAGTATAAATCATCAGACTATATATTCTACTCAAGATATTCATGTCATTCTATAGGCTTTATGGAACAGACACCCAGCTATAACTCACATTTAAATAATCATTTGCCAACTGCTAGGTCCTACTCAAATCACTTCTAAATTAAAAACACTTACGGTTTTCGCCTTGGTCTTAAACTTCAATCTACAAACTTTTTTTCTTGTTCATTTATTTCCTCCAAGCAAAATTTGAAGCTTCCGCAAAACTGCAAAGAAAAATCGTAATGATTATAGCAAACAAATAATATTAATTTGAAATCAAAAGAGAAAAAAAAATCCCAAACCTTTTTGTCGCAATCACTATCGGTGCAATTATATGCTGTCAGCTTGAAGAATAGGTGTTTTGTAGGTCTACTATCATTAGAGCTTTAAAGTCCTGGCCCTTCGCTTCGCCATGATTATAACTATCAATGTTACCATGTAGTACTATATTATAGGTGCAATTATATGCTGTCAGCTTGAAGAATAGGTGTTTTGTAGGTCTATTATCATTAGAGCTTCAAAGTCCCGGCCCCTTCGCTTCGCCATGATTATAACTATCAATGTTGTTGATGAGTTATAAAACTTTGTTGTTGATGACCTTTTCAGTTAAAATTATTTAGTATTTGAAAATGTTGTTTGAAGTTGCCATATTTTTAAATTCAAATTCAAACTGTTAAAATATGTTATATAGAAAAATGACCAGAATAAAAGTTATAGATATTGATTAGTTATATAATTTTATTGTTGATGACTTTTTCAGTTGAAATTATTTAGTATTTGAAAATGTTGTTTGAAGTTGTCATATTTTGAAATTGAAATTCAAACTGTTCAAAAACTGTTATATAGAAAAAAGACCAAAGTAAAAATTATAGATATTGATGATTTATACAACTTTGTTGTTGATAATTTTTCCATTTGAAATCATTTACCACCCGAAAAAATATTTGAATTTCTTATATTTTAAAATTCAAATTTTATATAGTCCAATCAAATCCGAATGGAGAAATGACCAAAATAAAATGGGTAGATCTCAATGAGTTCAACAATTTTATTTTTGACAGCTTTTTTCATATGAAAAACTCAATTCCAAATTCATTTTTGCCTAGAAAGTCTGATGTGCCTCCTCCTGATGATAATACTTGCTAAATATATATTTGATCCAATTAACTTGGTTTTGGTGGTGAAATATGTTATCAAAATAGATGTTATGTGAATGTGGTTGTGTTAAATATATTGATGGTTATGTATGTGAATGAATGTATATGAATAGGTGATGGTAGGGTGTGACATCCTAGCCCAGAGCTTAATAGGATTAATAGTATACTTATGCTAATAAGTTACAGCAACTTTCTTGGAAGCTAATCTCCAAACTGATCGGGAAATTCTTCCCAGGTGCACACAAGTCGGGATGCCCGATTGAGATATTTTCTCACATCACTGACCAATCACGAATCCACTACACAAAGAGATGATGCTTTAAACCCGTTAAAGATAACCGATCCCGATCCCGTTCTAGTGACACGGCAACAAGAGTTTTCGTCGTCAAATGCACGAAGAAAAAGTCTTCAGTGGAACTGCAGAAGCTGCATGTCCGTGCAGCAGCAAGTCACATGACAATTAGGAACCGAGAGGGTGTCCAGCTCCACGATCGTACCTGGGCGGGCGTTTGATCGAACTGCTCTGACAACAGGCAGCCTAGGCAATGTCGTCATCGAGTCCATCGTCGTCCGATCAAATGAGGCCCTTCAAAGTGCACCACGCTGGTGCATTACTTCATGCTGTTAAAAAACCGGCCCCGAAATCTCATCGGAAACCAAACGCGAAAGAAAACGCCATAGGAGATCCAAACATGATGACAACACCGAGACACGATATTTGATAACGGAGTTCAGCCGAGGCCTACATCTCCAGGGCACTGATTACGGGCGCTCCTCCCCGATCCAGCATATACAGCGTATCAGAGTTACAACGACTCACGGCCGGTCGCCGCCGGCAGCCGCTCCCTCTCACTATACTAAGTCGCCATTGTCGTCATGCAGTTACAACAGGCACGCCCCTCTATTTATGAGAGAACCTAGGATAGAGTCCGACTCATACTCTAGTCCTACACCTAGTACAACTCCAAGTTCTAAACTGTAACCGACTACGTACACATATTCGACATAAACTCTAACACATGCCTCCAACTCAGCCGCATGATGCCATAGAGGAGAGAGGGTGTGGGCCCTTGTGCCTTCGCTGAGCTTGTTGTTCCTTTGCTGAGACGCGAGTTCCACACCGAAAAAACGGAAAAAGGCACAAAGCGCGAAGCCGTCAGTTCAGTTCTGAAATGCATCCTTTGTTGAGACGCGAGTTCCACACCGAAAAAATGAAAAAAGGCACAGAGCACGAAGCCGTCAGTTCAGTTCTGAAATGCAGCCAGCCCGCCATGCTAGTCCCTCGCCACACACCACCGCTTCGCCGTTGGGATTGCCGCTGTTGTGGACGCCGCTCCGAGTATATCACCACAAGCTGCCGGATATGAAGAGGCAGCGAGAGAGGAGAAGAACTGGAACGGACAAGCCAGATCTGAGTAGTGGATCATGAGGAGGCCTCCGTGACCGCCCGCGGAAGAGCTCGACGGCGGCTGCAGCCTCCCACTCCACGCCGCCGTGGGGAGCTCGTCGACCCAATGGAGGGGAGATGCTGTCTGCCGTGGAGGAGATGCCGTCGGGATTGCCAAGCTTGCCGGAGAAGCTTGATTCGCCGTCAGCGGTGAGGAATAGCCATCGAACTCCATGCTGCCTCGATCTACAGCTCAATCCACGCCTGTGAGCTCCGGAAGAGGAGGGTAAGCGCAGGGACAGGAGGAAGAGAGGCGCGACGGCCTGTGGCTAGGAGAGATCGTCGGTCTCGGACTCGCGGAGTAGAGGGGCGGAGCGCAATGCGCCGATGGGGGAAGGAGATCGAAGTATTACGTGATTCGGGGATCGTTAATAAGTGGGTCCATGGCCTTATCTATAAGTTATTTTCTGTCCTAAGGGGATTTATTGTAAAATATGTAATACGATAAATGTATATGGACTGAAGTTAAAAAAGGGAGGGGCTGATATGCAAAATATAGTGGGGCCCATATGTTGCTATATACGTGTCTTCATCTCCTATTTCTTAGGTGACAGTTGGAAAGATGGACTAGGGGTTCGGTGCACTGTGAAGGGCCTGATGCCCCAAATCAATTTGCTGCGGCTAGCCACTGTGCCATGTCCACTTGTTGCCGGCCACTACATGCCCCCGATCGTATTACATGCGTCGTCACCGTTCTGAGTCTCGAAGGGACAACTGTAGAGAGTACGTATCTTTACAGTTGATAAATAGGTAATCTTCAGAATTCAAAAGTTTATTTGGTTATAATCTTCAGCAAATAATATACTGGTACCATTTATTTGTTTATAATCATAAAAAATATTTAATTGATTATTACATATAAAATACATTTTGTAGAGAAAATTCAGAATTGTTTTATGAGAAACACAATCAACAAATATACCAGTACATGAATTTTGATCAGAGGTTATGGCCAAATACAACTTCATTTGGGAATTGATGCTAGCAAATTACACGCATATTTCATTTAGAAATAGAATGACAAATAGACATTAGGTATTTAGAAGCAAGCAACATTTTATTGTAGAACTAGTGTAGATAAAGATAAACTAACAGACCGATATACTTTATCTGGATACAAGCACATCCTCCATTCGCGCGCGAATCAATTAAGAAACTTCCGGGATCTAATAATGCCTTGCAGACGTTCTGCTATATCTGTCATCTCGGGCCTTTGGTCCACATTATTGTCTAAACACTCTTTGGATATCACAACAAGATTATGGAGATGCTCAATGTCCTTTTCTTCAGCCTCCTTACCAAACAGCATCTTATTTGCTCTTATCTCAGTTAAGTATGTGTCAAGGTAATTTCTGACAAAGCTACTTTCACCACCATAAACAGCTTTCTTACCGGTGATGATTTCAAAGAGCACAAGACCGAAACTGTAGACATCACTCTTGTTAGTTAGCAGACCAGTTTCACGATAAACTGGATCCATATAGTTGTTGTCGCCAATAACATCGTTAGTGTGCTCGGTGACATCTCTTGCAATTAACCTTGATATTCCAAAATCAGATATTTTTGGGTTGAATTGATCGTCCAAAAGTATATTGGCAGGCTTAACGTCACCGTGTTGAATGCTAGTTGAGGTCTTGGAATGCATGTAAGCCAGGCCTTCTGCAGATTCGGCAGCAATGGCCAAACGTTTGTCTAAAGTGAGAGGAACTTTGTTCTCACCGTGAAGGATGTCTTGCAGGCTACCATTCGAAACAAATTCATAGACCAAGATCGGGACATCTACCTCAAGGCAGCAACCTATTAGCCTGACGATGTTCTTATGGATTACTTGAGATTGGATAATAACTTCATTTGCGAATTGGTCCTTCTGCGTCTTGTCAACTTTCATGGACTTCTTTACCGCAACAGGATGCTGTTCATCAAGGAACCCTTTATATACCATACCAAAGGCACCATTTCCAAGAACATGACTATAAGTTTTTGTAATTCGCTTTAGCTCCTCCTTCCTGAATATCTTTATGCTCTTTGCATTTTCCAGTATAGGACCACCATTTCTAATGAAAAATTCCCTCATCTTTTGTTTCTCCTTGCGAAGAAGGAAAACAAAAACCAGAGTTGCGAGGACAAGGAGACCCGCTACGACTCCTATATATATGTGAGAAACAAGAAGTAGTTTCTTAGTAACTAGCATATATTTAGCAAAATAATTAATATAGTATGTCAAAATAAAATAAAATAATAATCTACTAGTTTGTACTATCTCTGGCATAAACGTTTGAGTTTTTACTATCTTTGAGTTACCACTTTAACCATAGATTTTACTACACATAAGATTAAAAATAAAATTAAGACAAATCTACGTATTGGTACTACCATTTTTATGTTCCCAAATTAAGTAATCCCTCTGTTTCAGGTTATAAGATGTTTTGACTTTGGCCAAAGTCAAATTGCTTTATGTATGACCAAGTTTGTAGAAAAATAATAATAACATTTTTAACCCAAGACAAATTTATTATGAAAATACATTCAATTATTGATTTAATGAAACTAACTTGGTATTATAAATATTACTATGGCCCTGTTTGGGGGAGCTTATAGCTGCTGCAGCATTTTCCAGAATCAGAAGCTCCCCAAACAGCCTAGCTTTTGGTCCAATTCTGAGAATCTGTAGTTGTAGAATCCAGAAAATAAACTAGAAGCCGGAAGCTGGGAAACCCAGCTTTTTCAGATTCTCAGAAGCTGGCTACCAACCAGCTGTTTCTTAGAATCTTAAGCTTCCCAACAGGCTCTATATTTGTCTATAAACTTAGTTAAATTTAAAGTAGTTTGACTTTGATCAAATTCAAAACGTCTTATAACCTGAAACGGAGGGAGTATTTTTAAAATTATTGAGAATCAAAATTTTGAAAGTTTGACCCAAACATTAAACGTAATGTAATCTCTTTTACCAGAAAACAGGAGTAGCATGATAAAATAAGTAGGAAATGGATGACGATAACCTATTCGGAGATGGGGGCTACACATGCGAGCTTACCCACAATCACTTTGGCTACCAGTGGAAATTTCTCAGTGCAAGTTCCTGCTTTGCCATCGCCTTTCATGCCAGGTTTGCACGGACAGTCATAACCTCCCGGCCTGTTCTTGCAGATCCCATCACTCGAGCACGGGTACACGTCGCGAAGCTCAGGAAATTGTATTCGGAGTTGGCACTCGTCAATGTCTGGGCATCATGATCTGCTGTTAGTCTATCAATATAATATGTATGTATGTATATGGTAGTATCAATATTTAAGAGAGGGAGGTACAAATGGTTCACAATCAAACCTTGGCAACCATCAGCGATGTATGGGTTGCCATCGTAATGATCGGAGCACTTGCAGATGTAGCCTGGGCTGCTGGTTGCGTTGACGCAGAAGCTGTTGCTGCTGCGACAAGCGTAGTTGTCCAGCGGCGGCTGGCCTTGCGCAGGGCAGGAGACGTTGGCGATGGCGAAGTCGAGCACGAAGGGGACGCCCCTTGGGTGCTTCCTGGACAAGGTCTGGTTGCCGTAGAGATCCTCCTTGGTGAAGTTGTACCAGTTCTTCTGGACAATCATCCCGTAGGAGCAAGGATTGGACGACCAAAAGACGTTCTTCTTGTGGGCGAACGTGACGGAGGCTATGCGGAGGCCGGCCGTCACGTTCGCCTCGCAGCAACCCATCCCCGAGCACGACCCGTTCTCCGCCGTCTCGGGGAACATCAGCCGCGACGCGCAGTTGAGCCTGTAGCCCGTGCTGGCCAGCGACGTGGTGAGCTGCGCCTCCATGTCCCAGCCCACGCCGGTGAGCACGTTGCGCGACGCCGAGAAGACGAACGGCGAGCCGGAGAGCACCGTGAGCTGCCGCCGGAACTCGTGGTAGGTCCCGTTGGTGGCGGCGCAGTCGGTGGTGACGGCGCCGTACGCCCGAGCCTCGCCGCGCGACAGCGTCACGTCCACGAGCTCCACGGGGAGGGACCAGTAGTCCTTCAGAGTCACGCTGTCGTTATCGCTCAGGTAGTAGCCGTCGGCGTTCCCCTGGAACGGAGAGTCCGGCGAGCCCCATGCGAGGAAAGCGCGAGGGGGGTCGAAGGTGCGGTTGCAGGTGACCTCGAAGCCGTCCAGGAAGCATCCGGGCGCCATGCCGAATGGGTACGGTATGCTAACGTCGCCGCACCTGTCGGGGCAGCCGGCGAGCGTGATCGGCTGCCCATCGCCGATGGCTCTTGCTGCCAGGATCAGCGCTTGCTGCACGACTACTGCTACTGCTATTAATATCATCGCAGCCATTTCTCTGCCAAAGTTAAGAGCCATATACCATTAGTTTTGTGTACACTTCCCCAAACTCGCCGGACAAGCGCTAGCTAAATGGAGTATATAGGGTTCATGATCGAGGTTCGTGAACTTTGAGCCAGCTATTATCTTGGCTTAATGTATCATTTGAGATATAAATATACAGGTGACGCAGCTCAGACCATGGTGGCGTGAAGTTAACATTTAGAGATTTATGATCGTTTCTGATCATTGGATCTAACAATGTCCATCCTGCTCAGCTAAATCCAACGATGAGAAACGATTTAGTATCGTGAGATACCGATACCTCGAGATACTTTTTGTTGGACGGAAGCAAATCTCTAGCATTTAAGCCCTTCCGATATATATGGTATAGTACGTATACCACAAATCTACTCCCACCACTCCTAAATCTTCTGCTGGTGCATGACTTAAACTATGAATTTTTTTTTCACGAATAAACTACGAATTTCTAGATGCTGAGAAATGCACTTTTTATTGATTTGGGGTACATGTCCAATATCATCATAATTAATCAAGGTCTGAGATATTAGTGAGGTTCCCCAAAAAGTAAGCTAGTTGATCTAAGCATGACTAAACATTTCCTAAACCAACATTTAATCATATCAATTCCCAAGTTATCAGTTAGATAGGGTAAACAAGCTATGGCTAAGTACGTAGGAACCATCCCACTTAACATTGTAAAATAATGCAATTTAGGTAGAAATCGGGATATTTGCAAAGTAGGAATAATATGCTCAATGAGGAATGCATGACTTGCCTTGCTCTGGTGCTGCTGGAACCTCTAAACAACTTCAAAGTAAACCAGAGTGTCGGAACTACTGGATTCTACGCGACATACAAAGTACACAAGTAAAATAGGATACAAGACTACCGAAACATGAAACAAAACCATTTTTTAATGGAGTCTAGTTAATTTTATGAATTTTCTACAATTTGAACGGACATAAACAGAGATCGGATGAGTTAGTTATGAATTTTAGAAGAATCTCTGTGTTTTTACTAGTAACAGAAAACACCTTAATATTGATTTGTTGCGTATTAAAGCCCGAGGACTGACGTCATTGGGGAGGGAAGCCGGTGCCAATAGGCAGGTCCCACTGGTTGGTGGCGCACGGTGTACGGTCCACTGGTCCGGGGAGTCCGGGGACAGGTGCACCTAGGGCTGGATATCGAGCCAGCTCGGCTCGACTCGGCTCGGCTCGCTCCAGCTCGTTAGGATAACGAGCTAGCTCGGCTCGGCTCGTTATCCTAACGAGCTAAAAGGCTAGCTCGGCTCGGCTCGTTTGAAAGCTCGAGCTAGCTCGTTTAGCTCGCGAGCTATACGCTGCCCTCCTGCTCGTGTGCACATTCGTGGAGTTGGAGTTGCAAATCAAGCAAATGGAGCAAAAGGATTTGGATTTTAGATGCACATACACACCTTGTCTACACATATACAGCAGAAGTGGTTGTCGACCAAGTCAACAAAGCTTGTCGATTTGCAGATCCTCGACTTCACCCGTCGTGTGGAGGCCGACGGCGGCGAGGACGCCAGGCTTGTGGTCCTGAAGCTGTACTCCTTGATTCAAAACTTGGAGTCTTGGAAGCGGTGGATCCAGTTGCTCCATGACCGAGCGAAGAGAGCCGAGCGACGGCCGACGAAGGCGATTGAGACGACGAGGCAAAGGTGGAGTGGGATGGCTGGCACTCGGCGGCGGGCTGGGGACCTAGAGCGGCGCCACGAGGGCGTGGGTTTGCCGGCGGCGGAGGGGATCGGGAGAGTTTTTTTTCTTTTGTTTTTTACGGAAAGGGATCGAGAGAGTTCGGTATTGATTTGGATGGTCACTGGTATAGGGTTGCTTGGTTAGTGTTGGATGGAGATGGGCTATGGGCTTTTTGCATCTTTTTCTTGGTGGATTTTATTGCGTTACTAGGCTTGTTGGGCCAGGTGGGCTACACTGTGCTGAGCTCGTTTGGCTCGCGAGCTGCTCGCGAGCCAGCTCGAGCTGGCTCGTTATAGATAACGAGCTGAAACCTTAGCTCGGCTCGTTAACAAATCCAAACGAGCCGAGCCGAGCCAGACACGAGCCGAGCGAGCTAACGAGTCACGAGCTTTTCGTCCAGCCCTAGGTGCACCACATGCACATGTGGTGCCGATGCGGCTGCCACGCAGGTGGCAAGTTGGACAGCCCCGATCTGCCTTTGGGCAGATCGGATGATAGGGAGGCGGCGGTGACTAACTGGCCATCCCAATTGGGGGAGAGAGAGAGGGGGGTGGGTCCAGGTGAATCGGGGGAGAGAGTCAAGGGAGAGAGATAGGGTCACCACCCACAACGACAGTGCGCTGCATGTAACCCTCACGAGCAAGCTGGGTTCACGCGGTCCGCCAGATTTTAGACGATCAGCTCATCCTAGATATCATAGGAATATTCGTTTTTGGATCCAACCCAAACCCACCTAGTCCTCCAACCAAAAACATATAAAAATAGGATGGACCCTCCCAACCCACCAAATTCCTCCAACCAAACACATGCCAAGTGTTAGTAGGTGGGATGGTAAAGAGATCTTGGATGGAGAGAAAGGCCTTGAGTTCAAATGTTGCTTGAGACATATCTATGAATATCAGTTGAAAAAAATCATATGACTTGGGGAAGTGAAGTGTAACCATATAGGTGCCTAATAAACTATCAAATATATTTTTTCGGTTTTTTTTTTTGGCTTTTGGGTTTTTCTGGAGTAGTTCTTTACGACCGGGGGGCGGGGGGCAAACTGAAGATGACTTGACTTTCCGTGATACCGACAAATGACGAAGAACAGAGAAGTGCTATATATCAGACACTATCGGTAAGTTTATATATATGATTATATTCACGGCACGCATCAACGACGAGTACGTACGTCAGTTACGTATATATAGGTTTTTAACGAAATGTGCCCTACTCGGCTGTGTCGCCTAGCTGGTTTCACACTGAGGTGAGCTCAGATGCTTTCTGTCTCTACTGATAATATATGCATGACTCGTTAGTCAGTCCTGTATAGTAGTAGTATTTGGAGTTCACATACACTGACTGCATTCTTAATTATTTTTCTAATAAAATAAATCGTGTTTCTGCCATAAAAGTTAAATTACAAAACTGCATACATTGTTTAATTTGGTTCCTACCCTATCTTCTAGTCATGCGTCAGGGCTAAACTTTTTTTCAATTAAAAGAAAAGACTTTGCCCGGCGAATAAAGAAAAGACTTGCCCGACAAATAAAGATATTAATGGACTTGTTTGAAAGATCGACAAAATTTCCCCGCTTGCATTGCGTTGGTTCACACCTTGTGTTTCAGTTAATACGACTCGCCAAGTCTTCAAATATATATGTTCGACAGGTCAATTACTCCCCTCCGTTGTTTTATCATGCCCGTGCACTGGGTAATGGTAGAGCGGATGAAGTTTAATCTCAATGATTTATCAGAGCACTCCAGCATGATCATGAGCATACATGACATAGACAGTGACGACAGAGGCATATTTCTGTATTAGATTTCGCTCTATGAGTAATGTATATGGACGACGCCCTTAATATGTGAGCCCGATGATTATAGCATGAGAGGAATTGAAGTGAGGAACATATGAGTAAATATTGCTATCGCCTCTGCACAAGAGACGTCTGATGGAATATTATGCGACAAATTTATATCTATATCTATATCTATACCTAATTAAAAAATAAGCAAGACTTCCGGTAAAAAACTTTCGTCCGTCCTTTTCTTTTTCACCGCTTTCCTTTTTCTTTTCTTTCGGTTTGTTTTTTCGTTGTTTTTCCCTTTCTTTCCGTCCACTTTTTTTCCCCTTTTTTCTCGCCCTTTTTCCATTTTTATCTCTGTCCGCTTTTTTTTTCCCGTTTCTCTCCATCCGTCTATTTTTTCCTTCATCTTTTTTTCACCTTTTTTCCTTTTTCGGTTTTTTCGTCAGGCCAAACCCTAGCGATGTCGTCACGTTGTTCTGTCTTCCCATGTGTTTCCTACTCCTATTAATTACAAAAATCGATTCCTCACTACTCTCTCGTCATTTTCCCCATGATTTTCAATTCCGCTTTAATTCACTGAATTTAATCTACATTTGAAAGTCACCTTTTTTATCCGAGTTTTGCGAATTCACTCCGATGGTGAAACGAAAAGAGGAGATCGAGTGTATGAAAACTCCTCAACCAATTTTAGAAGATCAAGAAAAGATTCGATCGGATCTATTTGAAAGTCACTTTTTTTATCCGAGTTTTGCGGATTAACTTCGATTTTGATAAAAACAAAAAGAGGAGATCAGGTGTATAAAAGTTCTCAACTAATTTTAGAAGATCGAGACAAAACTCCTCAACCAATTTTAGAAGATCGAGAAAGATTCGACTAGATTTGATGGAGAGGATCGGTTTTGGCATCGTATGAAGAGATTATCTTTTGGAGGTTGAAGACTGTAAGTTGGCTATGTGAGCCGGAACACTACAGCTCCACTTGTGGGTTAGGTCTAAAAGAGGCAAGCCAAACAGAGGGAGATAGCGGGCTGGGCTAGGACTGAAAATGAAGGAAGGAATGAGTTTTTGTCCAAAACCAAGAGTAAAATGTATAGCGATCCAAAAATATTCTCACCCGTTGCAACGCATGGGTATTTTTTCTAGTAAAAAATAAAGTCAATATTAACTTAAATAGAAAACTCTCTATGTACCCCTAAATTTATCCAAACCGTTATATGCCCATAAGTTTTCCTCATTTCCTTGTATACTCTCAAATTTAATTTGGATATCTTCTATACCCTTTCCGTCAATTGACCGTTAAATTCATGTAAAATAGTCTATTTTACCCTTTGATACAAAGAAACATACAAATTCATAGAGTATATTGTTGGTGTGTAAAAATTTTTTGTATGAGACTATTATATTTATGAGTTTGTTATATGAGATTATTTTTAAAATTTATGGGTTTTTAAGATAGGAGCGCTCCCTGCCGTCCAATCTTCATTACACTTCCCCAAACCGTTATCTTGGAAGCCCAGCCGTTCGTTACCTGAACTTCACTTCTCCCCAACTACTGCTTATCTCTGAACATTCGTCAGGTCCTCACACTCTGCACCAACGCCAAGCTGGCCGACAGCCACTGGCGCTGCCCGGACCTGCACACATGCAAAAATCGATACCACATGTATGTATGCATGTAATGCATGCTACGCTACAGTACGTCGAGTACTGTAGTAACGATGCACTCCAACGTGCACGAATATCTGATTCCTTCACGAACACGAACACCTTATGAAGTTCATTGCGAAGATCTCCTCACATGTATGCCAATTGGTATCCAACTATATCACCCGATATCTTTGATCGTTTTGCTTTGCTTCTTCCTGAGTTTAGTCCCGATCACACCATTGACCGAAGTTGATCTTCAAGTATCCTGACTCTAGTCACATTCTTACATTTTTTTTCTCGATTGTACCAGATCTCTGCTCACCCCTAAACACAATCCCAGTCTTCACCATTATTTACCAAGACTGACCTCAATAACTCACGTGTACACAATCAGACAAAACAACCGTTTATAGATACAGATATTATAACCTGACCAACATTAATCACACACACTCACACCCTGGGCTGTTCCTAGGGCCCATGAAATCAGGGGGCCCCAAACCATGTACACATGTATATACCTGTAAAAAGAATGGGCCAAAATAAAAATACTGGGCCCATCAGCCCAGGAGGGCCGGATCGCAGGAGTGAAGGAGCGTAGTTGTCCTCAGATCGCTCTGTAATTCGCGATTTCTTCTTTTCACGAAACGCAGCCCCAAACGTCGGCGCCGACGCCAATAATGGAGGGGGAGAGCTCAGTTTTGTGGATTCCCAAGAAATTTGTCTTTAATTTCATCGATATGCAACAGATCCTCTCAAAATTCCCTCATAACAAAGTTGTATATATGGTACTTCCTCAACTTTTCCCCATCCTTCCTCCTTTCTTATCTCATCGTTCCTGAATCAGGGGCTTGTTGTAGCTTGGCTTTCGTTTGTTCGCAAGATTCCCATTAGCTGTTGTCAAAAGAAGGTGTTCAGCAATTCTTTATGAACAGTGTTGAATAGAATAGGAGGAGAGGAATACTGCGTAACGCGGATTCATTGTATTGAACCTCAGGGGCCGGTATATATAGGTTACATGGATTGGATCTTAAGTAAACTCAGAGAGATAGAGATGGAAACTAATCCTATCCTACCATAACAAACCGGATACAATACGATCCTATCAATATACTCTAACATCCCCCTACGGTCCAAGCGTGAACAGCGCGGGCACTTGGACTGGAGAAGAAACCAGCAAGATGCTCAAAACGGATGATAGCCCTTTGTGCCGTAGTCGACGTAGCCAAAACAAAGGGTGCGAGAGGACAACACAGCTGCAGCTCCATGCTGATGCAGCGGCAAGAAGTCCATCAATGATGTAGCCACGCTGAGGAGGGTGCCTGCAACAACCAGTGAAGGTGTGGACCACAGGCAGCGGCACTGCGGCTCGAGGGGGGCAACGCAGCGGCAACCCGAAGCTTGATGGCGTAGTAGATGTGCTCACAGACGATCAATTGCAGAAATCATCATGTTTGTGTGCTTGATCGGGTGATCAGGCCGAAGTTGCACACAGCGGAATGACGAAATCGAAGCCGGATGCCGATGTCGGAGACGCATAGATGTCGACGAGGCGGTGGGCGACGCAGTTTTCACGTTACGCAGTATTTCTCTCCTCCTATTCTATTCAACAAACAGATTAGCTTGGTTCTCGGCTCAACCCCTCACGGCCCGTTTGGTTGGAGGGAGTTTTTAGGAGGGATTGGGAGTTTAGAGGGATGAGGCTATTAAGTGTTTTGTTTGGTTGGGAAACATAGGAATTTTGGTGGGATGGGGATGGGGAATTGAGGAAGGAACTCCCTCCTTTTCAATACCTGGGTAGGGGCAGGTAATTGGGA